TCTTAGCAAGCCAATAAGTGATCTTGTAGATGCGCCACCGGTCTAGACGTCTATCAGATATATATATATATATCAAACATAACCCAAAAAGTATGTATACCACAAATAACAGTGGTAAGTCTATACCGTCTCCTCCTCTACATCCTCGGGATCATCCTCGTCCTCCCTCTGTACCCTCCTACCCTCAACATTCTTCTCGACCTCCGGCACAAGGCTTTCCAGGTACTCTCTGTCCGCACCCACCAGGGTAACGGTATTCCTTCGCTTGCCCCAGCGCGGATAACTGCCTACCTTGACGCCCTTTGGTTCGACCCGCGCCGCAAGATCAGTCAGATATGCTGCTACCGAACTCTCCACCAGCGGGGTAGATATGAGTATCCTGTGCATTCCTTTCCCCTCCGGATCAACCAGGCGAGGCAGCAGTATAGGTTTGAGGCCTGCCAGCAACCGTTTGAATAAAGATGGTACGCCGGGAAGAATGTACACGTTCCCATTGACCACGGTTACGGGGACCCAGAGTTCCTCATCGATGAAGAGAGCCTGGTCTTCGAGAGGGATAGTTTTGTCCGTGGGCAGCTGGACCATGCGCAATCGTGCCGTCAGGGCGTCCGAGGGCGTGTCCCAATTGAAGTTAGGGCCTGTTGGGGCTTGGAGAGACGGCGCATGCGTTCGAACGCCTGTTCGTGCAGAACGAGCGGGAGGTTGAAGGCACGAGCTATCGATTGGTACGTTATATCATCGTGTCTGGGGGAAGTTAGTCTTGTCTTGTCTTCCATAAGTGAGGTGGTCTGTAGAGAGAGGCTAGTTGGTGAGGTCGCGGTGGTGAGACGTACGTTGGCCCGATGCCTCCGCTGGTCACGACAAAGTCGTATTTCTCACTCATGCGCCGGACCGCCTCGATGATCTCGCTCTCTTCGTCTGCGATGACTTCCACTCTCTTCAATTGTATCCCGAGCTTGAAGCAATATTCCGCAAAGTGCGGGGAGTTCGTATCAACCGTCTACCCGGCCATCAGTCAGCACAGTTGGGTCAATTGAACTGTCAGACCCAGAAGAAATCGAGACAGACCTTACCGCCTAGCACTTCATCGCCTATGATCAGGCACGCCGCCGTGCAGATGGTCTTCCTGAAGTTCTCGCGTGCCGTCGCCGATGAGGCTGCGGACGGCGTGGACGATGATGTCATTGGCGATAGGGACGAGGACGGGAACGCTGCGGCAGAGCTGTGGGCGTAGTTGGGCAGAGGACGGCTGAGATGGCGGATCACCTGGCCGATGCGACTATACATGAGCCTGTCAGTTCGATTGTTAGGTGTAGCAGTAGATAGATGTTGGTGTTAATACGGAGTAGTGCTGGTGTAGGGATTGAGGAAGAAGAAAAGAAGGTCGATGAGAGAGAAGAGGGAAAAAAAAAACAACGAGCGACCAAAAGGCAAAAAAACGTCACCCCACATCTTACAACAGTTCCGCGAGCCTGGCGGTGTTATTATCCGTTCGACACCACGATCAACAGCTGGAGGAACAAAAAGGACGATAAACAGTCATGGTATGCAGTGACTTTCGATGCTGAGTGTGCCTGCTTGGGCTAGCTAGCTAACATGTAACATCGCCAGTCGGACACACGCCTGTACTCGTTCTCTCCCGAGACGACAGAGAAGCTGCGCAAGTTCCGTCTGGGAACGTCGAGGGCCAAAGATCCCCAGGCGATGATATGTAATGACACTGTGCCTGTGCTAAGGACTCGTTGGAGGTCCTGGCGAAGAGAGCGTGGCTGATACGGAGACAGACATGATCGATGCAAAGAGCCAGGAGATCCGGCCGGTCGACGGTGAGGTCTACTCGAAGATGGAAGACCTGGCAGACGACCTTCCCGATTCTTCGCCCCGGTTTATCCTGCTCAGCTATCCCCTGACGATAGTAAGCCTGCGCCATAACTATCTTATTCTGTTACTGCTGGCGGTATTATTATTATTGGTATTACTGTATGCTGACCCGGCAGGCTGGCCGTCCCGCCGTCCCCTACGTCCTGCTCTACTACCTGCCCGAGAACTGCAATCCGTCACAGAGAATGAGCTACGCCGGTGCGGTGGAGCTGATGAGGAGCGCGGCGGAGGTGAACCGGGTGATAGAGGTCGAGAACGAGACGGACGTCATCGAGATCGAGAAGAAGCTTCAATCACAATAACTGCCCTTCCCTGCCTAGTTAGGTGAACTGCTGTATATATATACGACCAGGGAATAATACGGTCCAAGACGACGCAAATGACAACAGGAAAGGCCCATTTTAAGCGTCAGCCGTGAACGGAAATAACCAGCGCAACCAACCACTAGTTACTAAGGTACTCAGGTTATCTCGATACTCTCGGTGGCCTGGCCGGTGGATATACCGAAGAGAGAGTGTCGTACAAACCATCTAGCCCTGTCCATGTCCCTGGGAAGAAGCAAAAAGCTGAAATCGTTTCATAAAGTCACTCCCCGCTGGCAAGAGGATTTAGTTAAAAATCGTTTCTTGAATTTCATGTTTTATTTTTTAATAGTTAACTATACGTATCATTACCGCCAACCTGCGACAGCCAGGGTGCCTGCAGGGCAAGACGGACGATCGATCGATGGGACTGCTCCCTGTCCATGGAAGGCCGAATGAAGGGACCGAGTATCGCATCTTGACTTGATTATCAAAAATAGCCATCCTCTGTGACGATGGACTGATCGGCATTAATCGCATCAACGCATCTCCTGCTTCGGCCTTGGCTACCTTGCATGCTGCCGGCGAACATTGAGGATCTAGTCGGCGATGCTGCGGGCCTTTTTTTTTATGTAGTTAGTTAAGAGTATCCGTACGGAGTACAGAAGAAGCAAAGAGGACAGGAAGAGCGGAGCCATCTAGTTAGTTAATTACTATCATCCATGACGTGAGAGTACGCAGTAAGTGGCAAGTAAGTGTGATGCAGATGTACTCCTTAACTTGATGAATATCAGTCCTAATTGCTGTTCAACTTGTGTATCTCAGGCCGACTTGCCTGGAGAGTCGCGCTCCAGCAATTATTATTTTAGAGGCGAATTATTTAGTCATTTAGACGCGCCAAGGCGGCTGATTATGTAGTTAACGGTAGTCAGTTACGTCATTCACTGGAAGGCGGCTCTTTGCTTTATATATCGCCCACTCCGTCCAGTCGAAAGCACCGACATCACTGCTCTACATCTTCTCTACGTACACGTTTACAGCTCCGAATCCGAAAAGTCGCCATGGATGAAACTCAGCAAACAGCCCAGACTTACAGCGTGGGTGATATACGGTCCCGGAGGTCCCTCTGGTATCGGTTACATGTCTATGTCTATGACCTCCGTAACTTCAGGACAGACAGCGCTGCAAGGGATCGGCTCGACAGCATAGTAGACATCACATACCTGGGCAAACCGTATTTTGACGAAGAGGAAGTCGAAGTGCTTAAGAATACTATCTCTAATAGTAGCGGGAGTAAGGGTGGGACAGAGACTCTTGCTCAGAAAATCGAGTCCACTCTGGATGAACGATTGAATCGCCGTATGAAGAAGCGTGTAGAGAGTGGCGACTTCAGGGTGTGCGCCGCCCACGATCTTGCACCTATCTTTGAAGCCTTTTTTGATATACCCCCGAAGAAGCTGGCAAAGAAGCTCGTCTCGTTGATTAGTTTGCGGGGACTAAGACTTCAAGACGAGGATGACATCTCATGTATCCTAGGTCAAACTAAACTCCAAGCTCTTGCAGCGAAACACTCAGCGGGCAGCAAGAAGAAGAAAGGCAGGTAGTTACTCCTTCTATATGCTTCTTAGGTCAAAAAAGAGACGGAATCGATATCTTGACCCCCTACTTCAGCCGGTAAAGGGAAAGCAAACAGACCACGTCGCTCTAGGCAGTGTTCAAGGGAGCAACTTGGAACCCTCAACTTCTCTGATACTTCAAACCGAGTCAATATTTTTTCTTCTCTTCAAGCGACCTCTGAATACCTAGATGTGATCTACGCCTGAAGGCAAGGCGGTTTTGGATTTAGGAGGCTTCTCGCATTGAACCATGCTCCCTATTTTAGTGGCGAAACGGTAACGGTGATTCTCAACAGATTCTAAGGCTGGCTTGGAAAATCTCCTTACCAAAAAATAGGAACGCGGCCAGTCGTACGGAATCTGTGCGTCTCACGATCTGTCGCCGCTAGTTGAAATGGCTTTTCGGCATTCGGTGGTTCTTAGTGCCAAAGATAAAATAAGGTCCTCTCTCTGCCGCCAATGGAGGAGCTCCCCCTTTTGGCTCAACGGCTTGACAAGGTGAACATGAGACTCCGTACGAAGAAGGAGGCCGCCCAAGCAATGATCGAAGAAGTGGTGCTGTACGGATGAGGACACGACGAAGAATGCCGAGCTCGACTAGAATAGTTGTTGTGACATAGCATTCGTTGAATACATTTTGAATATCTGTATATCATTTATGTATGGACGTGGAACTAACGGCAGTCCACTTGTACAAACAGTCCTTCACTTTACCCGAGAGTTTTGTGTATCTAGAAGGTTAGCAACTATGGGTAGCAAAAGCCCCCGTTATTAGGCAGCCATGTCATAGCTCTTAAAAGTATAAACTAAATAACTTCTCTATCCAAAAATTTCGCTGTGTCAGATCCGGTGAAACTCCCGTTTACTCCGTGCATAAGGAGAGAGTACCAGAGCCATGGTCAGGGAGAAGACGGGGATGGATGGAGATGTCAGTAGTGTCTGTCAAGCTGCATGGGCCCCATACCCGACCCACAGGCAAACTGTGCTCCGAAGAAGCGGTCGGCCGGCAACTGAAGGGCCTGCTCGTGGCGTCCACTAAGTTCTCTATCCTCACTTTCTGATAACTCTTGTTTTCCTTACAGTTCCTCCTCTCTGTCTGGCTGTTTACATAGGTCTGTATCAACTTCTCTTTTTAGCGTCACGGGACTCCACTTTAAGGTTTAGTGGTAAGTTACGGCCGGGATGTTGCCAAGGCCGGTCCCGGTGGTTTGGGTTTTACATAAGCAGGCAGCAGTGGGTAGCCAGTGAGAGCGAGAGACAGCGAGACGGGCAGCAGCAGAGTCAAAGCCCGGGAGAAAAGCGAGAGAAGAGTGCCAGCGCATTGTGGAACATGAGACTGGCAGGGGAGGGGGGGAAGGAAGGTCGTGCGACGAGCACCAGCAGAGGGGATTCAGGTGCATAAAGTGACGGAGTGGGTGACGGTGCTAGTGAGAGGCAAGTGAGCGAGACGAGCGAGCGGGCGGGAGAACTAGGCAGCGCGCCGCCGAGTCGGGACTGAGGGATCCCTGCGCATGCGCTTTTTCTGCTGGCTGCTTTAAGGGTGGGTTTGGCGCGGCGTGGTTGGCCAGCAGGACGGCTGGGCGTGCTGGGGTGGCCGCCGCTGGTGGCTAGTCATGCTGAGATAAAAGCAGCGGGTGGGTCGCGATACCGACGGGTATGTAAAAGTGGAGACCGGTACGGTAAGCGTAATACAGTAACGGGACGACCAGCCAGTTGGGTTCGAGAGAAACGATAAAAGTCGATAAAGTGAGATTTTGAAGGCGACGGGAAGACGACGACGACGAGGATGATGGAGATAGAGCAAGGCAAAGGAGGGTGGATGGGAAGACGAGAAAGGGTAGAGAAGAGTGAACAGAGAGCGAGGAAGAAGTGAGGGCCGAGTGAGAGCGAGCGAAAAGAGCGCTGGACAGAGACTCCATCGCACGATATGTATGGCAGCAGCAGGTGCCAAGGGTGCCAGAAGCGAGAGGCGAAACGGTGGAACCGCCCAAGCTAGCGGGCGATGGGACGGAGGAGGAAGAAGAAGACGCAGATGCAGCAGCAGCAGCAGCCAGAAAGCCAGAGAGCCAGAGAGCCAGAGAGCACGCAGGGAGTCGAAAGTGTTGATGCTTTTCTTCTTCTGCTTCTGCTTCTGCTTCTTCTTGCATCTCTCCCTCTCTCCCTGCTCGCTGCAGACTCTCTCTCACTGTCTGGCCGGTCTCTCGCAGCAAGGCTCCCTCCTCGCAGTCTCTCGGGTTAAGTCTTGCCCTGCAGTGAGCGACTTTGGCCTTGTTTATTCACGCATCGCTCGAGAACCAGCGCAAAAAAAAAAAAAAGGGACGCCCGTACAAAGAGGCTCTTTTCTCGCTCTCCGACACTCCAGCCGCCGTCCATCACCATCACCACCAGCAGCAGCGAAAAAGGAGAAGAAGCAGCAGCAGAGGACGAAGAGAAGGAGAAGCAGGAGGAGAAAAAGAAAAGCACTCCCTGGCCGTCCTTGTCTTTCTTCACCCCGTCCGCTCCCATTCCCAACTCCACGGTTTCGGGGCCTTCCATCGCTCAGCTCGCCCGGCGTTGGAACCACGCTCGATAGCCTCATTGGCTGTGCTCGCTTTTCCTCTGCGCAGTTCTGGGGGGTTGTGTTGGCCGCTGGTGTCTCTCTCTCTCTTACAAAACACCCTTGCTTCTCGTCTATCTCGATCATACTCCGTCCTCCTCCTGATTCATTCACCCTGGCTGGCTGCTCGCTGACCAACGCACCACCCGTTGTTACTGCTCTTGTCGGCGGCCATGGCGGACTCCAGGGACCCAGGGAAGCCCGGCGGCGACAAGGAGAAGGAGGATACTCTCTCCAAGTACATCCAGCGCATGAAGACCGTCCTCAAGGGGCCTCGCAGAGCTGCAGACATGGACAGGAGGTCAGTCTCCCTTCTTCTTCTTTCTACCTATCTATCTATCTATCTACGTACTTGGTGATGCTAATATATACTGGCTGCAGACCACAGCTGGCTGCTCGTCCTAGAGCCGCTGCTCCCGCAGACGCAGACCTCACCACAGACCCAGCAACAGCATCTCCGGCTCCAGGTCAAGCTCAGGGTCAAGCTCAACCACCGCCAGCTCCTCGCCAGTGGACTTCGATGCAGGAGGAGCGCGCCCGCGCCCTCTTCGCTAAGTACGGCCTCACCCTCGAACCAGGCGAATGGATCACCGGCCCTGCTACTGGCCTCACCTCCTCTCCGGCCGGGCCTACCTCTCACCCTACGACCAACGGCCTCACCAACAACATCTCTGCCAGCAACAACCTGAACCAGGTCGAACGAGTCGAGAAGCCCATTCGAATGCGTGTTCGTCGCAACTGTCACCGCTGTCTGGCCACCTTTGGCGCTGACAAGGTCTGCGTCAAGTGTGAACATACCCGATGCAAGAAGTGCTTCCGCTACCCACCTTCAAAGTCAGAGACAGCTTCATCCGAGCCCAAGAGGGAGCGGGCCCAGAAGAAGATCGTTAACGTTGCTGCGGGTGCCGGTACTACAAACACAGCTGCAACAACCGCTGCCACCACCGCCAATAACAACAACAACAATACCGCAACACCAACACCAACTGCGACAACGGGGGCTGCTACTGCCGCCGCTTCTGCCGGTGGTGGTACTGCGAGTGCAGGTGGCACTCGCGACCGTGCAAGGGAGGAGGGACGAAAAACTTGCCCTGAGAAGATTATCTTGACCATTCCCAGCCGGACGGGCGGACAGGACCTTGTGCGCAAGCCTGTTCGCCAGCGTGTGCGGCGAACCTGCCATGTCTGCAATACGTTATTCGAAGGAGCTGCCACCGAGTGTCTGAAATGCCACCATCTTCGGTGCAAGAAGTGCCCCAGAGACCCGTATGTCTTTGCCTCTCTCCAAGGCCTGGCCACTGCTTAGTCTTGCAAACGCTAACAACCACTTCTCTAGGGCGAAGATGTACAAGTATCCCGATGGATATCCAGGCGATGCCGAGCCGCCATTCGAGCCACAGGAACGGGTCTGGAGGAAGCCCCGTCGACGCGTTCGATGGACATGCCATGAGTGCTCCTCCATGTTCACGGGAGGAGAGAAGATATGTCTCCAGTGCCACCACGAGCGGTGCGGCGACTGCATTCGAGATCCGTACGTCTTCTCTTGGTTCAGTTTCCTTT